CCTACTTTCAAAATTAACTCTTAATACGTCTCTCTGCCCTAATCGGGTTAGGTCTAGCTGCCTCCCGAAATAGTAGATGAAATCCTTCTATGAAATTAACATTCGCTGCTCCGGCATAACTAGAATCGGTGCTATCCTCCTGGGACGTCCTTTAAGCTGAATATAACTAATCTCCGCCTATGTACTGAGTCAATATTAAGTAAATCTAAAAGTATCTCCCACATATTTCCTCCATTTATAGGTTGTAACTGAATCCGATGTGCCCTAAAATTTTTGTGCTCCCAACTTCTAATATCTTCCTTAATCTTACCGAGCCAAGCTTCCTATTCCGTGACTCTATTAATAGCTGGATGTGGCGATGGTGAGATCTTCGGTATTATCTCTTCAATAGGTACGGCTGGTAGAACTGGTGCTGGAACTTCAGAGAGTAAAATTTGGCTTGTTACTCACTCCTCGAGTGTTGCTAGTCTCTGCTTCTGTAATCGGTGTTACCAAGTCGATCAGATACTTTGGAGCCTACTACGGCTCGGGCTCTACTTGTCCAGCTCTTCGGGTACAAGATTTACCTCGATCACATCCTCGTTCCAATGTTTATAATACTAAGAGGAGAGCTTATTTGACACAGTAAGTGAGATCCCAATCATAAATAACATAACATATACCAATAGGAAAAATCGTATCACTTATCATTCATGCATTTACTTTTTAATCAAAGTAAGGTAGTTGTCACCAAAAGAAATTTTGTAAATTTTTGAATATACGTATATAACATCCTCACTCATTCTAGGAATTCCTAGTAGACTCTATACATGATTCCTAGGAAACTTTATACTAACTCCACGACTTGACATATGAATGATCCTAGGATGCTGGAACTAGAGCTCTGATACCAACTGTGACGCCCCTGGGTTCACACAAGGCTAGAGTCCAAGGTGAAACCAGAGATGTCAAACCTGCCACGCACCCACATTGTGTATAAACATGTTTTACCAATCACAGTAATATCCTCTAGTAGAACCAAATAGAAGTGCAGGTACAAACAGGCAAAATAAAGGGAATAAATATAATAGACATGATATAGAAGAGATATCTCATAAATAAAAAGAATCATGTCTCAACTATAATACATCTGATATCTGAATAATAAAAATGTCTCAACATGAATCAACTAAAAATCGTACTAAGGCACACAGTCTTTACAATATGAATATGAAACTCTAATATCTGGATAAAGCTCAAAACTACAGTGGAGTCTCTATAAGTAAAAATACGCGACGATGACTATGCCAGAACTCCGTCACCCTGTGGCTCTCCGAAATTCCGAACTACCTGAAAAGTAATTTAAAAGAAAAAAAATAACAACAAGAGCGTCAGAGCGCTACAGCAAGATTAGCTCCATCCTTCCTCAGGGGAAGGGCTACAAGATGGAGTGAAGGCTCTATCTATTACACATAGTTTACCTAGATTCATTTTTCCTGTATCTAAGTAGGATTAACATTTAAAAACCTACAACACGAGACGTAGTACGTCAAACGAAATAATCCAAACAAGAAAACCCTCATGTATATACCATAAGTCTTAAATTGTAGATATCTAAACATTAATACCGAACTAAGAAAAGACAATCTAATGAAACCAATAATTAGAAATCCATAACATGAGACTGGTACGTCGAGCGAAATAATCAAAACAAGGAAACCCTCATGTATATACCATAAGTCTCAAGTTGTGAATCTCTAATCATTGATCCCAACTAAGAAGTAAAGAAGACAGCAAAAGAAATAAGATATCAACACATCGTATTTATAATATCTTTCACTATCACTGGAGAGATAGAATAAAATACCAACACGTAATTTTGTATACTTTCAAAAGTAACGTATCTCAGTCATATAGTTCAATGATAGGTCGTATTCATAATCGGCATATGCCATACTTAGGCTATCAAGTAATTGTCTCAGTGCAACGGACTATCCTGTAGGTATCCTGAACTGTGTACACGACTCATTAGTCTCATCATGATCTCAGTGCATAACATGAGTGCGGGACGGACTACCAAATAGGCATCCTAGAAATACGGCTCACGAGCCTTATCGCACCCTAGTGCGGGACAGACGGCTAGATCAAGCCTCCTAAAATCCGACTAAATGGCCTGTACATGTGGAATATCGACGTACTACCTCATGTAGTACTGAACTGAGCTCATCAACGATATCCACCTCATGTATAAACTGTGTATATCTAGTGTGTCGACGTACTATCTCATATAGTACTGAGCTGTGCTCATCAACGGCATCCAACATGTATATGAACTATATCTAATTCAAATATGATCAAATAAAAATTCATCGTAATCTCCTTGGTATTCTCAAATGTATAACATAACATATTCATGATTATACGTGTAACATCAAGAGGCTCAAAACTCCGCGAACGCACCTCAAAACGGCACAACACAGCTCCACAAAACGAGCAGGAAAATAGACAAAACATCTATTAGTAAAACAAACATATCTTTATCTAGGAAAACTATTTTTACAAATGGTTTTTTGTTTTGAAAACTACATTCACACATCTTTCAAATGACATAAGTTTGGTTCAGTTTGGAGTTCATTTGTTATTCTAAATCTCCAGTTAAATATTATATATGTGCAGCCATTTTTCTGCAGGATATGTTATTAGTAAACATAATATATCTTTCTCTATACAAAGTCTTTTTAAGAATAGTTTTCTGTTTTAGAAACTAGATACATATAGCTTTCATTTAAAACTAGTTTGGTTAAATTTGGAGTTTGTTTGCTATCTTAAACTCTCAATTAAAGATTATACAAGTGCTACAGTTTTCTGCAGAAAAATATATATATAATACATCACTTAAATTTCTCATATATGAATAAAATTATCAAAAACCTGAATGATCATGATCATGATACTATCATAAACAGTAAGAAAAGATTATTCATCTAGTATTTGTTTTAAGGTTTACTATCAAAAAAATCTGACTTTTAACACCTCAGGTTAAGATTAAAGTATGAAAACACATATTCAACATCATATTAATCATCTACACTAGTTATTTAACTATAGGGATAGGTTTGGATGAAGATAATCTTGCCTTAAATATCGTTCTAAGCCTTTGAGATAAACAGCAAGCAATTGGAAGTGCAAACAACCCGTTTTCTCCTTGCTACACGTCGATGATCTCGCCCTTAAGTCGATATTTGCTTCACAAAGCTCTCAAAATTCTCAATTTTAGGGTTAGGGCTTTAGAGAGAGGAATAAGGACTGCTAGGGTTTGAAACTCTGATCTAAGGATGATAATTTTCGTGAATATATATATATATATATATATATATATATATATATATATATATATATATATATATATATATATATATATATATATATGCAAACCCAAAATAAACCCGTTTGATCCGAACCAGGAAACCTAGTCTGACTAGGAAAACAACCTTCGGTATTTTAGTAATAACTTTCGCGTCTGACCTCGGAATGAGGTGATATAAGATTTGTTGGAAAGCTCTTGAAGATACCTACAACTTTGGTATTTTAAGTTTTTCCAGATTCTAACTGTTCCAGTGTGTAAAATACATATACTTTTAACTAGTCGTTTTTCCCAGATTCAAACCCGTGCACGTGTGCATGATATCACTTCTATATTCACATATATACATTGAATTAATCACAAATCAATTCTTAGCATACTAAAACATTAATAAATATTATTTTTTTCATAATACAACATATTTATTATTTATTACAAAATATTCAAATTTTTAGGGTTTTACAAAAAGGGGATGAGCTATAAAGTGCTCTTGGGGGGCTAAATGAGTCGTTCTTAGGGGTCTAAACAGTTTTAAAACCTGACTTTTCTTTAGGGAGGAGAATGCATAACTTTTTGTGGTCAAGTGGCTTAAAGCAATTTTTCCGAAAGTTCAATATAGTTTAGAAGGGGGAAAAAAGAAAAAAAAAACTACGGGCCGATCCATGACTCACAAAGCATGGGTCGGTCAGGCCTAGCTTGAACTTAGATGTGTCGTGGACTGGGTTGAGTTCCCCCTCAAGCCCAATATTAGAGAAATAGGCACGATTCACTCTAACCCGCCCAGACCCAGGTCATACCTAACCCAGCGGACTGGTCCACGGCCCTGAATCGACCCAGCACACGCCCATCCACATGGGCCAAGTTGTTTTTATGGCACACACCAAACTTACGGGTGTTCAGTGGAATTTCTATAGTTTAGAATTTCTATAGTTTAAGATAGTGAAATGAAAAACTCCAAATCTCAAGCGTGTTTTTGTGAATTGACTTTAGGGGTTGTTTGGTTCGTTTCTTTGATATAGAGAAATGCAATTCCATGTAAAGAAACACAAGTTTTGACATCAAAAGTGGTAACGTCATCTATGGAATCATACTCTTCGTCACCTTCACCACCACCTGACATGTTACTAACATCAGCATCCTCATTGCCTCTATCTCCGTCAGCTGCATCACTAGTTGGGGAGTCGTCATAATCAACATGCTCCTCATCATCCTGAGCCGCGGAAGGTTCCGGAAGATCTGTTCCAGTAGCTGGTTTATTCATGAGTCCCGTTGTAGGAATAGAAAAAAAAGAAAAACTTTTGTAAACAAAGCAGAGAAGGAAAAAAAATCTGACGTGGCAGAGTTTTCATCAATTTTACTTGGTTGGGGAAGGAAATCGGAGAGGGAAGAAAATCTTAGTTGGCGGCGATTTCAGCAGAGTTTTCCCTCTTCCATCCGAGCGAACCAAAGCGGCACAAAGAAATGGACTGAAATAAAAAAACTGACGTGAAGGGCTAAAACTCTAACGTGGAGGGATTTTCTGAGTTTTCCACCCCTTATAATAGCGAACCAAACGGCCCCTTAATAAAAATTAAAACGAGCGTACGGGCCCATCCAGAGAGGGACCCATATGAACATAAACTAATCGCCACGTGACAAAGCACAGCAACTCCACTATCATCATTTCCCTTCTCCCCTTCCTAAAAGAGACAAAACACTCTCCAGGATTCTCTCCTTCTCAACAACACAGATCTCTGACCGAGCTCAAAAGCCCAAAACTCAACAAATGGGTTCCGATGAAACAGCAGCCTCATCGTCATCAACATCTGCCATCATCAATCCCAGTAAGAAACAGGGGTTGGGTTGGATTGAATGGGGCCGAGGGTGGTACAAAGTAGTGGAAGAGTTCTTGTTCCAGCGAATAATGGCGAGCCATCTCGAGAACCCATTGCCTCTTCCGCCGCTCGATGGGCTTACTTGTATTGTTACTGGGTCTACTAGTGGGATTGGACTCGAGATTGCGAGGTTTGTCTTTGGCGTCTTATAAGTGTTTGATGAAATTCCTCGATGACAATGTTAGTTAATTAGCACTTAGATACCTCAAAGTTTCACATGCTCTGGGGCTGTTTGGCTGAGAGGAAGCAGAACCGCAATAACAAATGTTGCAGCCAAATTTCTATTTCCCGCCTTTGGTTAGCAACAAGTTAGTTGAAGATGGTAATTGGATTTCATTTCGAAGAAAAAAGCTACACCATTTGATGCGGCCAATTTTACTGCACTACAAGTCCTTTTATTAGTTAAAATATTAAAAAGTAAAGTCACGTCATCAAGTTAGTTGAAGCAAATAAGAAAATGTATACTATTTTACAATTTTGGATAAAGAACAGTTGTTTGTAAAAAAAAAACTTCATCAGCAGAAAGTTTTCTTTTCCCCGCTGCTCTTGTCACAGGAGGATCAACCACTCGTTGCTCTTCTCCTGGAGCAGGCTCAGCTGTCTGTTCCTCTTCTTGTCCAGCAGATTGATTCTCGATGGACAGAAACTCATCGACCCCTTTCAAACGGGATGTCTTGGACCCCTTCCTTAAATTATACATATGCCTAATGTCTTTCAGGCAAGATGTATTCAAGTTATAGTTGGGAGTCTGAGAAGCAGCGTAATACCAATTGCAGAAGCTGATGGAGGTATAGGAATTAGCAGTTTTGTGGGGAAGCTTGAAGACGCTCGAGATTGCGAGGTTTGTCTTTGGCGTCTTATAAGTGTTTGATGAAATTCCTCGATGACAATGTTAGTTAATTAGCACTTAGATACCTCAAAGTTTCACATGCTCTGGGGCTGTTTGGCTGAGAGGAAGCAGAACCGCAATAACAAATGTTGCAGCCAAATTTCTATTTCCCGCCTTTGGTTAGCAACAAGTTAGTTGAAGATGGTAATTGGATTTCATTTCGAAGAAAAAAGCTACACCATTTGATGCGGCCAATTTTACTGCACTACAAGTCCTTTTATTAGTTAAAATATTAAAAAGTAAAGTCACGTCATCAAGTTAGTTGAAGCAAATAAGAAAATGTATACTATTTTACAATTTTGGATAAAGAACAGTTGTTTGTAAAAAAAAAATTTTTTTTGCAACAAAATATGCGAATCCAACTATATTTTTAACTAACCAATCAATGGATTTGGATTTGCACAAGCATTTCCTGTAATAAATCCAGATATCCAAACGACGAATTTGAGGTTAATTTCTTGCAACAAATGCTGCATTCAACGTTTGTTAACTTTACAGTTGCAACATACCAAACAACCTTTATACACACTCAATTGTATTTTGTCAATTATATATCCTAAAAGTTTTTTTTTTTTTTTTGAGATAGTATGTTAGCACCGTCGCTTAGGTAACCTTCAGAATATTTTTGAAAGATCTTCATGTGATTGTCGAATCACAGATTTAGGACGTTTATAGCTATGAATTATTTTTGGAAAAGACGGAGATGGCTTTGTTTATCTAACAAAGAGTATTCTGTTTTTACGGAAAAGTTTGATGCCATTTAACGAATTCAACATAGAAAATTTAAGGTATAAAAGTGCCATAGAATACAAATGAGGATATGTAAATGAAAAGTAGGTTGAACTTTGAGGTATGTAAGTGCTAAATAGCCGAAAGTGGTTGGTAATTGATGGTTTTTTGTTCTTCTGGGTTTGGGAGCAGGCAGCTTGCACAGGCAGGAGCGCACGTAGTGATGGCGGTGAGGAAGATTAAGTTGGCGCAGGAGTTGATTCAGAAGTGGCAGGAGGAGAAGGGTGGGTTGGGGATGCCGCTTAATATCGAGGTAAGAAATTCAAAGTTGGAATTTGAGTTGCCTGTTGGGGGCATTTTTAAGTGTTCTGGTACTTTGAATGGTTTGGTATTCAATCATAATTCAATTGCAAATTGATTGAAGGAGAAAATAATTACTTTAGTTGGAAATACTGACTTGTTATCAATATGCAACTTCAGTAGAATGCTATATGATGATTTTATGAAAGGCTAGAAGTTACATACTCGCTATTTTTCATGCATCTGAGGCTTGGTAAATCTTTGAAATTGCTGCTTCTTGTGTCTCATACTACACTATATGTCTACAAACTCCTATGAATGACTCACATTAAGATACTAGTTTTCATTATATACGCGATTCAACAAAACTGTAAAATAGTTATCTTATGTTTTTAATTACTCTCGATATATCATCATAGGAAATCATTATTGCTTAGTTACTGATTTCTGACATATAGTAGCATCTGACTGGTTTTGCTTATTGATCTGTACCTCCACACGCGGTCATCTTAGATTCTGCCTACATGTTGACTGATTAATTAAATTATGTCGCTCTTTTGAAGGTGATGGAACTTGATCTGCTCTCCATGGATTCAGTTGTACAATTTGCCGAAGCTTGGAATGCTCGACTAGCACCATTGAATATTCTCATCAATAATGCTGGGATTTTTTCTATAGGAGGTGTGTGTATATGGTAGTCTTATTATTCCTATGCAAGTTGCAGAATCTTCTAGGTCCTATTTAGAAGTGTTAGTTTTGTTTGCATGATACTTTGACTTTAAATGAGTGTGCATATTGTATGTGTCTTCTTTCTTTCTCTTGTTATTCAAGTGAAAGAATGCACTTTCATCCCACATCTTGGTTTTTTTTGGCTCACCTTTACGTGGTTTTTGTCGTTTTCCCTCTCCCTCCTCTGTCCTCCCTAAGGCAATTCCAGTTGCGTAGAATATTATGCTCATAAACGACCAACTCATCTATTCGAAGTTGAACTGTTTCAGGATTACTGGACCTGGGTGTTACTGAATGACCTAATCAAATATTTTTCTTTCGGGTGTAATCAACACAGGCATATGAGAGAGATTATTTCATACTTATATTGTTATTGCACATATCAGCAATTGCTGGAAGGGAATTTGACTGAGTTGTTTGATTTACTTTGACATAGTTTAGGGATAATCTTTATTTATTTCTGCCAAAAGCAGATAGAGAATGTTTACTTCTACTCAGTTGTTGGTGGCCTTTCCCGGTCAAGGCTAGATTGTCTGACATATCTGGAGATGCTACCCATGTCTATCCGTGTTCAACACTTCAATTTTTTTTAAAAATGCTATTTTCCTAAAAGTATAAATGGGAGTATGGCAAAAACTAATTATTTTGGCAAAAACTAATTATTTTATAGTTTATTTTTACTAAAAATTATGTTCTTTTTTATGTGAGTATCAACTAATGCGTATATTTATTAGATTCAAATACATTATCCAAACAAGATATACATTTATAGGCTTATCCTAGCGTCTAGATTTTGTACAACCACCTCATCATCATCCTATATCCAATATCCATGCTATAGAACGGCATTCAGGTCTGTGTCTACTAATCATATCTTTAAAGTTTAATCTGGAAGTTTAATGTGAGGATTAAACAAAGTTTTATAACTATCCATTACCCTAATCTCATTTTACCATTTAGTATTCTCAGTAAATTGTAGAAGTTAACTGACGTAACTACTGATGTACATAGTAGAGTATAAATAACTCCTAAAAATTATACCTTCCTCTAATTCTACATGCTAACTAAGGTTTCCATTTGGTTGCATGGAATTGCAAGTTTGAGAATTCACAAAGTCATGAAATTGAGATCATATAATTGCAACTATAGTAAATACGTTTTGGCAACGTTTAAGCATGTGATAATTTAACATTTAAACTGAGTTATTAAGATACGTATAATTTTATATTAAGTATTATTAGTGTGTAATCTTCAATATTGTCAATGAGACTCTTTATCATCAGTTCAACTTTAGATATACATTTTATCTTTATCAGCTAGCAAGGTAGATATATTTGATAAATATAATAAAAGGTGTTAAAAGAATTTCCTTAGATGCCGACAAGGTCATTGTAAATGGATGTCCAAAAGTACCTTTGAAAGAAGGAAAAGTATAAACAAGTTTCATAAATTTTAAGATAACTACTAAATATTGGGTTTTTTTTTTCTTTGGGGTGTTTTTTTTTTTTTTGGTGGGGGGGGGGGGGGGGGGGAGGTTGGGGAGTGGATTTAGGATTATCTTTAAAAGCTGATAAAAATGAAAGGAAAAAAATGATGGGCACGAATGACCCTGATATTAGCTCTATGAAAAGCATTTTGTGTTTTTTTCCTTGCAATCATTTATTGGATTCAAAATCTTGTTATTTCTTTTTGCTTGGATATATTTGAAAATTTTCAACTATATGCAATGCAGCTTCATACACTTACTCGAATGCTGGTACAGTTACTCTTAAAAACCAAAAGTAACATTATTAAGACCCTTTCAACTCTATTGTTTCAGTGTACTTATTGTGAGAGGCAATTTGAGTTAAAAATTTAGTTTAAACGGGTGATACGTTACTAAAAATAGGAAAATGATCGGGCTAAAATACCAAGTTAGCCTAAAAAATAACACCTTTTTATCACTTTAGCCTCAAAAGTGACACCCACAACACTTTGACCTAAAAAGTTATAAATCAGTGATACATAGCTTTTCTGATCATCGGAGAGAAATTTTAAGTGAAATATTAAAGTAATTTTATATATAGACCCCTAAATGTCTTATTTTTTTAATTAACCCTCTCTCCCTCCCTAAATTATAAAATTTGTAAAAAAAAAAAGAACTCCTCCCTTCCCGTTATGTCCTCCCTCCTCTTTCCTCCATCTCCTCCATTCTTTTCTTCTCCATATCCGTAACTTTTCCTCCTTCCTCTCTGTCCTTCTACCTCCTTTCCATATCCTCACTTTTATGGTCTTACCTTCTCCTTTCTACTATATCCTCCATTCTTTTTCAGCTCCTTTCAATCCACAACCTCTCTCCTCTCTCCCACTCTCTCTTCCTTCTCCTCTTCTTCTCTCCCACTCTCTCTTCCTTCTCCTCTTCCTCTCTCCCACTCCCTCTTCCTCTCTCTCTCTCTCTCTCCCTCCCCCCTCTGCCCACTCCCAATCCCCTATAATAATAATAATAAATTCAACTTCCTTCTTCTCTTCCTCTTTCCTGCTCCCTCTTCCTCCTTGCTCTGTTCATTCTCTTTTTACTCTCCAATCAACAAAATCCCAATCTCCTTAATAAAGAGAATGGAAAGGAGGAAGAGAGTGGTAAAGATGAAGGGAGGTGAAGGATCAGAAGGAGAAAAGAATGGAGATGGTGGGAAAGAGGAGAGTGAGAGGAGTTTTTTATAAATTTAAAACTTGAGGTGGTAAATCTGAAATTATGGAAGTTTGAGGGAGCATATATGAAAAAATCCTTAAAATTTTCTCTTAAAAATTGCCTCTGGCGATCGGAATGCCTATATGTCACCGATTTGTCACTTGTTAGGTTAAAGTGTCGCCGATGTTACTTTTTAGACAAACGTGATAAAGAGTCACTTTTTAGGCTAATCTGGTATTTTAACCGAAATGATAAACTGAAATTCCTTATATACTAGAAACCAGGCAGCAGGAGTTGTACCAGCTCGAATCCTAATGCCATGATTTCTATTTTCGCACAACCAACAACAGGTGCCAATATTTTAAAAAAATTTAGAAAATCCAACAGATTTACAATGATGTTCACATTGATTACGGCATCTTTGCTGGTTAGTGATAAAAGAATGAAAATAAATGAAGTACGAAGAAAACCTACTATATGTATTCTAGTTCAGTTCTTACCAATTACAGTTACCAAAGTTATTTACCATGTTGACTGCCAGTCCAACAACATTTTCTTGATTGAGTTCTTAGGCCTATTTGGTTTATAACCTTATCTTTTCTACATATATCTACTTCTCTTACCCTTCATATATGCTTTGTCTACTAGGATATTCTCCTTGCCACCCAATAGGTAATATCAATTAAGGATAGGTCATACCTGACTAGCATCAAAATTATGCCTCATACGTGAATCTCTGATAGCTTGTTCACTCTATGATTATTATTGAATTATGGTAGGTTTACATTCTAATCTGCTGTTTTATTCACTTGCATTCTAAATTTCCAACTAACCGTTATCCTGAAATTACTCTCACCCTTTTATTTACATAGTTTTCTAGTGAAAGATGACAATTAACTAGAAATCTGAATGCAACTCAAGTTTGTCTAATTGAATATACTAGTCTTCAATTCAACTGTTGCAGACCACCAAATAACAGTGTTTTATTACAGTGGTTCAGCTCAATGCAGACGTTTAGTTAACATGAAGAATGAGGTAATAATTTTTATCGCTCCTCTCTACATGCACATGCTTTGGCAATTGCTCGTTGCACATATTATGCATCTTTTTGGGACGACGATGGAGCTCCGGTGTTTATACCAGAATAATTATCTCATCATTTTGGTATCATAGGCAGATTAATTCCTTCTGCCAGTATAGTATCTAATAATTTTAAGAGTCATCATATTGTAGTATTTTTGATATTGAATTGCTTTAGTTGATAAATTAAGGAATGCTATTGCTTAGAATGGTCTTAGGACTTGCCTTTGTACTTAGGTAACTCCACCATTTTTCACTGCAGAACCTCAGCGTATTTCGAAGGATGGATTTGAAGAGCATATGCAAGTGAACCATCTAGCCCCAGCATTATTATCGATGTTGCTTTTGCCATCTCTTTTGCGTGGATCTCCTAGTAGAATTGTTAATGTGAATTCCGTTGTAAGTGAATGATATAAGTTTCATTCTTATGTTCTAGTATTTTTATTTTATTTTATTTGCATTTGTGTTAGCACAAGCCTTACTATTAAGCTTGCCAACTATTTAATAGCAAGAGATTCAGCCTTTATGAATATGCTTTGCTGATTGTTCCCGTTAAAAGGTAACACATGTTATCAGTTATCAAAATTAGTGGAATCAAGTTTGGTCATTGTCATTGTTATAGTGTTACTTTGTGGAGCATGACTTCCTGATGATGGCATTAAATGATATTAAACATGTGTTAATTTCTTGCATTGATGAGGAACTACATCTATGATCTGTTATTTTATTATATTGATCTATAAAATGCCCCGAGACCTGGGCATATCTGACTGGACAAGCAAAGAATTCAGATAAATTAGTTCAGTAAGGTTACCTGTAAAATTACTATGCCAAAGTAAGGTGATGTGAATAGATCTTTATTTTGTCCCTGCTACGCTGATAATTGACTGTTGATTGTTATGGTCATTGTTTTAAATATCCCCATATAGCTGATATATCCGGCCGATATAACCTTTTACAGGGCCTGCCGCAAGATGATATGGTCTTGATATCCTTCACTACTAATTTGGGGTATATATCACAGACATGGTTGATATATTAGTCGATATGTCATTTTATATAGATTTTTAAAACTTCTTTAATGTTTTTAGTAAAAAATTCAAGCCATATGAAGGTTTAAGTAAACTCTAGTAGGCTTTTTCCCCCCTATATAAGTTTTGACAATTGGTTAGTGATCTTAAACATATATTATGTATATTTTTGTATGCTTAGATTTCATTATGTGTGTTTAGATTATATTTTAGGACATCATATTATATATGCACATCATCCAATATGTCACTGTGATATTTACTACATATCTCCGACATTTCCCCGACATCCACAATCCGATATGGATTTTGGCCGTCTTATATTTCCGTGATATCTGACAATTAAAACCTTGATTATGGTACAAGTTTTTTTTTTCTTTTTTTCTTTTTGGGTTCTTTTAGCACAAAAACAGAAACATCTAGCTGAGCGAATCATCTATAATAACCTTTTCAAGACTTCAACCAAAATAATAAATCTTGCCTGTTTGGATAACAAGCTTTCACGGTGGCAGCGAGGAAGATTGACAACACTATTAAATTTGCACATCAATCAACAGTTAACTTCTTCACATGAAGAACTATGTCATAGTTCGTGAATTTTGTTTCACAAGTGTACTAATTATGTTCTAGCCTTCAGCATAAAAAAAAATCATTTGATGATTTTGAAATTGATAATTTGTTTTCTTAGATGCATTTTGTTGGCTTTGTGGACCCTAATGATATGAATGTGACCGCGGGGAAAAGAAAATATTCAAGCTTAGTGGGATATGCTGGTAGCAAGCTGGCACAGGTATGCTAAATTCCTTTATTATAAATTATGGAGCTCAACTTGTCTTGCAAAGTTCAATTAGATTCGGATCATTTTTTTGCTTTATGCTCTCAGTCATTTGCTGCTTCATGAAGTTTTCCTTATTTGAGCTGAGATTGATACTTGAATTGCAGGTGAAATTTAGCAGCATCCTTCAAAAGAGGATACCAGCTGAAGCTGGTGTCAATGTTATTTGTGTTACTCCTGGAATTGTCCTAACTAACGTTGTAAGTTTCTTGGAAAATTATATCATATCTTTCTGGAGCAATTAATATGGTGTTTTTTCCGTCTTTTCCTATGTCTAGTATCATTATTTATTTTCTACTTATGCTGTAATGGGGTTTTTTTTTCAACATATCTTGAATTAACTAATGCATGATAGAATATGAGAATGTCAGTAGTCAGCAAACAGTTACTTACAGTTGGACATTGTGTTCGACTACTTTGAAAGCTTTGTTTATTTCCATTGAAATATAGGGCGATTAGAGCACCCACTTTACATATGTACTCAATTACTAACGAAATTTAGGTGTAGTTGGCCTATTAGTGGATTCATTTTCTTGGTATTGACAAGTCACTTACCATCCTGCAGGCCAGAGATCTGCCAAAATTTCTTATAGCTGGTTACCGTTTGATTCCTTATTTCATCTTTGACCCCATAGAAGGTTCGATCCCTTTTCTGAATTTTCAGTTCACCCTGTTGCATTTCTTTATGTCTGTAGTGCTGGGTCCCTCAAATTTTCAATATTCCATGCTAGTACCTCAAATCTTTAGAATTGCTCATACTTCCCTCAAATCGTAAGGGTTTTGTCATTTGGTCCCTCAATGACCAAAATACCTCTCATCTAATGTTCTCTTGAACGCTGAGGGGTTTTGGGGGGAAAACAAACTTAGGGGTATTTTGGCCATTGAGGAACCAAATTGCAAATTTTGGATTTGAAGGGATTATGAGCAAATTTCAAAGATGTGAAGTACTAATATGGAATATTAAAGAAATGAAGGACTGCTATCTAAATAAACCTATTTCAAAATAAATACACTGATTCTGTTTCTTTCTTTTTTTTTCTTTTCTTTTCTTTTCTTTTTTTTTTTTCCCGTTACAGGATCAAGAAGCACTCTCTTTGCTGCTGCAGACCCTCAGGTTCCAGATTATTGTGCAGTGCTGAAGCAAGATGAATGGCCTGTGTGCCCTTATATAACGTTTGATTGTCGACCAATGAATGCTTCTGAAGAAGCGCATAATCTAGAAACTTCTCAAGAGCTCTGGGAGAAGACACTTGAGATGGTTGGGCTTCCTTCAGATTCCTTAGAGAAGCTTCTAGAAGGGGAACAAGTCCAGTGCCAATATGGACCAGCGAGAGAATGATATTTCCTTCGAGGTCACGATCTGGACAATTTCAAAGGAAATATGATGGTTGTATCAGTTGTCTTCTTGCTCTTCCAAGAATTCATTCGACATGAAATATGCACGGATGTGTTCCTTTTGAAAATCCATGTATAATGTGGGACAATGTTGTAATCTATTGAAACATGTTTTGGGTGTGTATGAGCTGCTGGAAGGTTAATCTATTAGAAGTTTGAGTACGTGGGATAATTTTTTGTTTCGTTTTCTTTTTTTTCTTTTTTCTTTTTTTTTTTTGTGAGGGGGTGGGGGTGTGTGGGGGAGAGCACCTACATGGAGAAATGAAGGTAGTTTATTTCGACCTGTATTCTGAAGTTGAAATGTCATTAATGACTTGGTAAGAGGTTTTTGGATTCGCAGCAACTGTAATTGCAATGAGAATGTCATTTGCACCATTGTGCGTGCGTGTGTAGTTCTAGTTGCTTTGTTGAGGTTTAAATTTTGCAACATATAGCTGCAGTTTTATTGCGAGATGTTTGTTTTGAGGTATCACTCTCCCCTGCTTTTCACTTGTATTGATCGACTGTAGTTGTAATTGCATCTTAAACCACATTTTAAATTGAAAAAGTTGTATATGTGATTTATGATGGAAATCTACGTTAGTCGTTGGTTGCTACCGCAGGTCATTATGTGACTGCTCGCAACTGCATTTATCAGTTGCAGCGGAGCAAAGAAATGGCGCTGGTTTAAAATATCTTAGTTGTAAGCAACTGCAGCTGCAATGAGCTCCTACGCCTTCCTGTTTCTGCAGTTCCTAGTTAACTAATAATTATCAATTAATAACTTGTTCTCTTCTCTCTTCAACATGGGCGTACCGCCTCTCAAGCAAGACGAAACACGCGCCTCCGCAAGAAACTTAGCGAACTACCAAGAACCAGAACAGCACCAAACAACACACAAAAACCATTCAAAACATGCAATCCAAACGCTAAAACAGAACATCCATCCATAATCAGTAACACCCTTCACACCAAATTCACAAAACACACCATCGAGACCAACACCACCCACCTCACACTAACAAACAACCGCGCTGCACCTGCGGTGTAAAAATAGTAGTAAGGATAAGCTACGCCACCCTTCGGCTTTCCTGTCGATGGATTTGGCTTCGAAGAGGAACCTTTGGGCGAAGGCGGAGGATTGTTCTTCGATGGGGGCGTAATATAAATTTGTGAAGGAGGAGGTGGTGACTGTGAGCAAGTCACCGGACAAGTGCCACATTTGCTCGCGCATAAGGAGGAGTTTTCGTCGGCCTTTGCACAAACAATCAACAGAGAGAAGGCTAACAATACCGCGAGCGTAAGTACCCGATACATCTTCTTCGTTGTTGTGGCTATGGCAATTTTAGCTCAGGGTCCAGCATTATAAGAGGGCCAAAGTGGGGGTGCACATTGATGATTGCATGAAGATTCAGTTTGCTGTAAAGTGTTTGCTTCTCTTGGTTGCTAAGCTTGAAAGATGCCTTCGTGTTTTATTTATGCGGTAGAGGGGGGAAGTGGCTACGGCTAGAGTCGGTCATTTTTGCTAGAAATGCACATTTGTGATAAGGATAGAGGTTGTGCAAAGCGCGTAACGGAACGCTACGTGCGGGGATTCTCCAAAAGGAAAAGCAGGGAATAAGATGCTCTCTGCATGGGGAGAAAATAAAGAAAGAGAATTGATTCCCAAATGTTAGCAGACGAAGATAAGGAAAAGGGATTGGAAAAATTTGCAAAATACACCTATTTTGCTAAATATTTAGCAAAACAGACCGTTTTGCTAAAGATTTTGCTAAACAGACCATTCGAAACATACGGGACTAGTAGTCCCGTATGATGTACTGTTTTGCTAAATATTTAGCAAAATAGGTCTATTTTGCAAATTTCTTCAAAGGGATATGAACTCTATTCGAAGATAATTTGAGGATGCTTGACAATATGAATCTATAATCCTACCGAGGTTCCGTGCTTTTAGATGGTTAAGGTTGAGATTTAATTTATTGCTGCTCCAACATGGAAAGAATTGAAGCTTGTCTGCGAACCAGATCAAGATACAGAAAAGAACAACCGCAAACATAAGAATTTTACGTGATTTGGAGCAAGCCTTATGTTCATGTGAACTACAAAATAAATCCTTGCTAAATAAATGAGAGATCACATATTACACAGATAGGGTCAATGATATGATAGCGAAACCCCTTTAAGATGATCTACGGATTCTTCCATTGGTGATGTTTTTCCCCCCACACGCCCTAGATTTGATGGAACAACCCTTTGATTGGAGAGGGACTAATTTAAGGCAATTTATTAGAATCCGGGTACCCAGTAGCAATTTCAAATATTTGAGGGACAAACTTTAAATAAATTAAGAAGCTGCTCGCATAATTAACATTTGAGGGACCTAATACCAATTTCAATAACTTGCAAACATGGAAGATATAAGGGACTAATACGTAAGGAAACGAAAAAAAAGGCCCTCAAAGAAAATTCACTCATGTATATTCTAGTTTCCTTCTTCTACTCCTGACTGCAGACGGTATGGCTTTATCCCAGTCCTTCCTCTTTCCGAAATATCGGCCCCCGACCCCTCTCCCAACCCGAAATACCGGCCGAAAAGTTATGGTTTACGCCAGAGCAGCACGGATTCGCCAGCGACGCCCCCAAAACGTTGAAGGGGAGTTCTTTGTTGGTGAGTTAATTGACTAATTTTTTTTTTAAAGAGTAAAAAAGAGCCCCACTTGAATAAATTATTGAACTGTGAGATCTTTTTCGTTTGTTCTCACTTCTCAGATCATCGATGCATCGACTGCGACACGTGTCGGTGGATGGCCCCGGTAATTCATTGAAATTTTCCTTTTTTCATGGGGGTAATATTTGATACGGTTTGGGATTTTGAGCCTGAAATTTGTTGCAAATTTGTGATTTTTTTTTTCCGTTACTCTTTTTAGGAGCACTTCAAGCGGGTTGATGAGAGAGCGGCGGTCACAAAGCAACCAATCTCCAGAGAGGAAAGAATCAAAGCTCTTCAGGTGATCATTCATGTCATAATTAAGCTTAGCGTTATTGAGCAGCTCTCTGTACTTTGCAAGCTTTTGACATTGACTATCTAAACTGTAGTTTCACTAATTTCATGCTGCGTTCGGATTATGAACCGGAGTTTTCTCGAAGATTTTTTTTTTCCCTCGAAGATTTAGCGTAAAATTGTCTTCATCCAGAAAAGTTTCTGCTCTGTTGTGTTAATCATCAAAACCCTCTACTATTAATTTTAGCATATAATTTATCATCTGTTCTGTCAAAGATTTAGCATAAAACATTGTTATGAAGTCTTATTGTTTGGGAAGCCCTCTACTTTTGCATGGTATTTCTATCATATCTAAGATATTGCTGGAGGTTTTCTATTGAACTTAATGGATTGACAAGTTTTCTGCCAAGTCCAATGCTACGTAGGAGCTTGCATCCAATCTAAAGAGCATGGGAATATGTCTTGTAATTTACCTTCAGACTTTGACATTGGATCTAAATCGAGTAAGGCATTCCCTGTAGGATTATTGGGATAACGTCGCATGCCTTCAATCATCCTTTTTGGATATATTTGAGTGTTATGTAGCTTTATTTGAACTACTATTTAACTTATCCTTTTGACCTTTTGCACAAAATCTTTTTGATTTTTGGATTTTGTCTCAATTTTCAAACTTATATGTTTTCTCTATTCACCCCTTTCTGCTCCAAAACAAAAGCAGACGTGTGGCTGATCTTGTACACAAAACTTGGAAGTTTTACATAGTGGCTCCTGATTTAATCCCAACATGTACAAAGTGTACAGCTGCTGTAAAAGAAGGTATTACCAGTGCACTAGGCTACCCTTTATATGCGGGCTGATTACACCAAAGCATCAGTCAAACACCTCCAATCAAAGAGAGGGGCATAAAAACTTCTTGAATTGTCTCCATGTATCACTTCCAAATTTCAATTCCCTATTCAGCCCGTGGTTAAGAAAAATAACAAACAATGTAAATAGTTTTAATTTAACTTTGCAGTATTCGAACAACAACGGCTGCATAATTTGTTTATAAAAGTTTCATAGCGTATCTGAATTAAAAGTTTTTACTAGCTTATATGATGCTTTAGTAAAAGTTCACATGAATAAAACTTTTTTAAAATCTATAAAGTTTATTTGGAAAATCAGTATCACTATACCGATTTTTAAGGTATAAGAATTTGTGCCTTCGTATATATTGAATACATAAAATCTCTATTCATGAAAGATTTAGGATTTCTATTGCCTTTTCTTTTACTTATTTCTTCATATTCTATACAACACATAAAATTACCATTGTTTCTTAACTCCTATAGACTCTAATCGGACTAGGATTGATCTTGATACCTGAGTTACAAAATAAAAAGATGTAAATAACATCATGTATATCTAGTTGTTTACCAGGTCCAAGGAGAACAAAATCTTATCCTTCCTTTATGTGTCAATAACTGAACTGATCCACAATGTTTTTATATTAATAGCAAATTTGTTATTTGATCGGGCATTTAAACATTTCAGGCATTACTTTCCTGTCCAACAAGCTCAATACACACTGAGAAGCCACCAGAGGAAATTAAGGAAGTTCACAAGACATTTCCTCTTCCTATTGATGAGCATAATCTGCCGGTATGTTATTGTTTTTCTTTACCTTCTTAGCTGGAAACTGTGGGTTACAGAATTTGTTGCACGTTATAAAAAATTTTAATATAACTTAAAGGGTGGTTTTGGATGTCCTAATAAAAAAATTCATATGCTTTGCAATTTTCGCTGCTGGTTTAAAGAACCATTATATCATTTGATTGTTTGGCTTGGAAAATTGTGAATTTTAAAATTGGAAGCACAATCACTCACAAAGAATTATGAAGATTGAAATTCATATTAGAATAGAAAATTTTATTTCATAGTTCTATCGGATTTTCATATTTAATCATCTAAATACTCTAGAATTTTGTGGATTATTATTTTTTTCTCAAAATCCTGAAATTATGTCTTTATGACTTCGGTGGGCATCTAAACTCCATTATTAACTTGGAGTATAATTTCAAGTGTACTAAAAAAATTGAGCATCTGACTACTGTTGTTACAGATTCAATACTGCGTTGTTAGAATTTTTTATAATGCAACTCAAAGTACTTTTCTGAACACAATTTGGGAAGAGATTTCAAACTAATTTAATTGCATAAACAATTGCATCTTCATTATCTTGTAAGATTTTGTGTAATGACCTTCAAAAAGCAGATGAAAATGCATCCGATATGATTTCTCTTTTCATTATGAAAATTTAATTTTTATCACCCATTTAGTTACCTAGTCAACAATAAGAGTCAATCCATAATTTAATGCTTGATATGTTTGGCTTTCAGGGAGTCTACCATTGTGGTTATCATTCTGAAAGATCTTTTGGTGCTACTTCCTATCTTATTGTTCATCCAGATGGCAACATACTTGTTGATAGGTACTTCTAACTTATAAGAGTTACTTTTGGATTGTCCACATCGACATGTGAAAGAAATCAAATGCAGATGTATAATATTTTAGATAAATGTTAAGGGGATGAAAATGACGTGCTACTATTTCCGGCCCTATGTTTGGTATAAGTTTTATTATAGAGGAAGTCTTCCTTTCCAGGCTTTTATGATATGCCAATAAAAATTAGCAATCTTGTAAGTCTTGTTTGTACTTGTGAACTTCTGAGTGATTTGGATATTTGTGAATTTGAGAGCCTGTTATTTCGATTTCCATTTGTTGCAACTGATCAGAAGCACTAGTGATCAGGATGGTCTAATCATTAATATTTAACACTCATGTGGAACTTAGTATTTGTTTCTAATGATGGAATTGAAGTGAGTTATGAAGCCTACTAACATCATCTCTCTTTCAAGGCTGATCGAGCCCTTGGAATTGAAAATAATGGGCAAGAGTGTGTAGTTTTCAAAAATTTGGGAGAGGGTAAACAGAATGTAATCTGTAGAAACATTATTTGAGGTGTCCTAGGATAAACAAAATCTGTTGTAGTATTCTGATGAAAGTCATGATTGTGCTTACAATTTACCCTCATATATATTAATATGCAATTTGTAGGAACATTATTTGAGGTTCTACATGCACCTTAACACATACTTGAACAAATGCTTTTACATTATTTTTCTTATTTTTTCCCTCTCTTCTTCAGTGAGTAAAAAAGCAATATTGCTATGCTAAGGCTTTGGGAATAAACTGATAATTGGCACGATGTTCCTGCAGCCCAAGATACACTGAGATATTGGTAAACAAGATTGAGATGCTTGGAGGAGTTCGCTACATGTTTTTGACGCACAAGTATGATCAAGACCTGTCTATTTCTCGTAAATATAAATGCTCATATTCAGAGGAAAGAAGATTTTACTACCTCTGATTGCAAACAGGGATGATGTAGCTGACCATGAGAAGTGGTCCATGCATTTTAGGTGTGAAAGAATTCTTCATTCAGGAGATGTACGAACTGACCTCTAAATGAAAAAGTTTTTTGTATATATACCCCTTAAATCATTTGTATATGCAAAACTACCCCTGAATGATCAACTTTCAAGAAAAAAAAGCCCCCAAATCATCAACTTTGTTGGGCAATGAGCGGAAATTTGACTATTTTGTTGATATTTTTACATTTCAGTTACAAATTAGCCTGCGAAAGTTGACGACTGAGGGGTAGGTCATGCACATACTGAGATTTTTTTTTGTGGGGGGTGGGGGGTGTGTGCAGACTTGTAAATACACATGATTTAAGTGGTGTGGTAGAGATATCTACAGCCAGTGTAGAGAGGAAACTACATGGAGATGGCCCTTGGAGCATTGGTACAGATTTTGAGCTTATTTACACTCCAGGCCACAGTGCAGTAAGATCATCAAACTAAGCAGTAGATTCATATCACTACTATGTTATACAGTAACATAGTTAAAGTAGTCTCGTAACCTGTGGAAACAAAGCAAGAAGCTTTGGTGTTCATTTATTTAGTTTCTTATCACCTAATGCAAAATGTCACATTTTTAATCAAGTCAGAAACTTGAAAAATTCAAGGCAAACAATGCAAAAGATTATAAAAGTATGGCATATTATTAGTGTTGAAGTAGTGGTAGGGAGCTAATAGTAATTAGGTATTTTCATTGGTGAATCAGTTATCGGTCTCTAAAAGAACTATGAAGTCTATAATATGAGTATACCTTAAAGTTCTACCTCGTGATCAATCTTAATTTGCAGGGTTCAGTTAGTTTATACTACAAGCCGCTGAAGGTTGTATTCACTGGAGACCATTTTGCCAAATCTCATGCCTCGGAGCTGACAATATTTGAGCAGTATAACCAACAATCAGGTAGGATCCGGATTGTTTTTGTAATCTGTTGATCATTTACTATGTTCAAATAGAAGGTTGATGTGGTCCCAAAGCTTCTTAATTGGGATAAATACTACTTAGCAGGAAGTGGAGTCAAGTAAGAATTGTTCTTTAAATTTCCTAAATTGAACCCATCAAATACACACACACACACACACACACAATAAATTGAATACAATTAATTCAGAAGATTTAGGCTTGAATTGGGAATTAACTGGGAATTATAAGAAAATGAGAAAAGAATTTGGGGGATGTTATTGGAAATTAACCAGGTTTCATAGTTGTATTGCGATTTGATAATATAGTTGTACTGCGATTTGATAATTAGGTCCTGGAAAAAAAACTTTCTTCATAAAAAGTTTGAATAAAGTTTGAAAAAAAATGAAGATTTGAAATGCCTCATTACTTTTAAGTTAATTGTAGATGCATCCTCTTTACTATGAGGCTGTAGTCACTGCTACTGGTTAAACTATTTTTTAAGTACTTAGACCTCTCTGAACTATATACGACATTATGTCCCAAGATAGTTTGAGAGGTCACCTGGTAATTGCGTGAGATAAAACTTAAAAAAAAAGACTAAATTACCTCTAAAGTGAGGACCAAAAAGTAACCTCATCTGACGAGTTTCGGAGGTATAAAAACTAATAAAAAAGTTTAGGGGGATATCTCTGTAGTACAAGGGGTGTATCTGAAACTAGCCCATGTATCTTTATTCTGATAAAAAAAAATACTTGCTTTGGTCGGCAGTTAGCATGCAGTTGGATAGCGTGAGGAAATTTTTAGACTTGGATTTCAATTGGATTCTCCCAGGTGAGTGCGCAATCTTCAATTTCTTTTCTTTTCATTCGGAAAAAGAAAAACAATCTTATTGGTCATTCTGAATTTCTGTGAAAATGGACAACATATTATTGCTTTTCTTTGTATTTTTATTCTGATATATATACTGTTCCAGGACATGGAAGGAGGGTCCAATTTACAGACAGCCAAGAGAAAAACTCAGCAATACAAGCTTTTTTAGCGAAAAAGCAGCCTCTGCTTAATTAACAGCAATACTATATATACACATATGCATTTTAGAATACGATACTGTACAATATCAGACCTTGGACTACAGGTGGAAAAAACTCTGTTTTAACTTATATCCGAGCTTGTATATACATGTATACTGATGCATATATACATCATTTGCACTGTGGATACGGTAAATCAATTTAATCAACAACATTTACTATTTACCGGATGGTTATGATTTGTTTTGAGTGAAAAGTAAAAAAGATTGTGAGTCATCTCATCATGCTATGATCATAGTTGGCTTAACGGTGAATAATTTTTCTGTAGTATCACGCTTTTGAACTTTCTATCCCTCTAGTTTTACTTTTTGCACATGGACCTCCTGATCAGTGATTTTTTTTCCTGGACTCTTTTACCCCGAAGAAAGAGAATTGGTTTTGGCCAAGGAATGGACTCCTTGCGAGTAAAGAAGTCAAGAAAATCCTACTTGAGGGATCTATCTGCAAAAAGAAAATGGAGGGATAGTAAGATCAAAACAGCGATAATTTAGCATGCAGCTCTTATACGTGGACTCCAAATTATGTATCTCGGCGTATAAAGATGCTTTACGGTTTAGTGTTCACAGAACCCATACACAAAATCATCATGCTGTACTCTTGTACATATTATCCTTCACCCACCTTTTAATAAATGATATCTCAACTGAAACTTTGAGAATTAGAAGCCAATGAGTTTAAATTAAATATATGATCAGCTAAACAAGATAAAGAAATACACGAAAAAACGCTTTAAAATGAAAAACTCTTTAACTGAATCCCTCCTTTGACAACATTAAAAAAAAGTATTACAAGGTCATAACATGCAAAAACATGAAATTTGATTGCCTGTAGTCTCTTACAAACAAATGGCTTCAATAATTTTTTTTTAAACAAGAACAGTAATAGAAACAGGATAATATGCAAATTTACAGTTGGGGCACGAGATTATTCTCAAACGGGAAACCCTTAAATAGAATCTTGGCCAATAATTTGAGAACATCAGAACAATTTACATCTCTAAAGACACCTCTCAAACAATATTTTTGTTTGCATCATTTGTAAATCCACTCCTTTGCTCGTCCTCCAGATTCATCCATGTCTATAAAAATGCTTACTGCCTGGGGAAAAAAAACTCCCAATAATGATGAATGGTTATGCGCATCGATTTCATAACGGTTGCCTAAATGAATTTGAAAAATGTCTTGTATAAATATTTTTTTGTTGACGGAAGAGTACCTTCCCTATTCGAGGTCGTTCTTTCAATTTTTCAAGGCTATTTCGAATGTGTGAGACTGCTCCCCAGCATTTCAATGTGTTTGCTACATCATCAAGCCTCAATAGATACTCCTCTTCAGTCAAGGGAAATGATCGCTAAAAAGTGGGGAAAAGAAATAGAGTAAATGAATAAGAGCATATAGCGATCTTCAATGACAAATTATCTTAGCAGATTATCGAAATTAAGGGTTCACACTATTCATCAAGGCAACATTTTTCTCACTATGCATCAAGTAAATCAATTATCTTTATATTAAGAAGATGCAAATTTCAAAATCACTTGATGATAGGTGAAAAGTCCAATATGTTAGCCTTTTGTTTTCATTTGTATGCCATAATGATCGGTATGCAATACACCCATTAATTATCATGCTGATATCACCAGTATTATATCTACTATTGTTGCTATTTTTAATCATAATATACACCAACATCCAGATAAAAACACATCAATATAACTTTTTAAGTATGCTTATACGCTTACCTGCTCCACATACTTCCACATGACATTCATTGCCAGCAGGTTTTTTCCCATGAATTCCTGCATAAAAACATGTACATCATAATAATAAAAATCCTCTAACTAAAGATAGAAGAATAATCCTTCCTTAAAATGGTTTCCAAGGAAATCAAAGTATACAGATCAACAAATGTTGCATTGCCAGAAGTGGCAATATATAAGAATGTTGAAAGCATTTAAAGAGGCTCACAATCTATCAATAACCTACAAGGAAATATCAATCTAATGAGCAGATCACATTGGCAGAACATCATCTGACAACTATCAATTCTCAATATACAAGTTATACAGATAATCATCAAATCACAAAATTATTTCATTGATCAATGTCATATTATCTTTAATTTATTGAAAGAGGAACTGAAAAATTGACAAATCTCAGAATCATTTGATGTTGTCATGGATACCTACCATTACACGAACACTCAGAAGTTGTGATGAGAGTCAAGGGTTATAATTTTATACTCTCACGTGCCCATGTAAGTTGATGGTCCTTTTATGGGTCGAAACTTGAACTCTGGTAGCTATATCTTTGTTTTTAAAAGCGACATTAAATATATGACCGATAGGATCTGAACCTGGGTTCCTGTGAAATGTCCAATGTTTTAAATATAGGCCGATTTTATCGATTAATCCCCGATATATAGGTTTTGGGCTATGGCCGATACGATTTTTGAAAAAATATATCGCATATAGTTTTGGGCCGATTTTTCCCAATATATCGGTGTAAATCCGATAAAGCGACCGATTTTTCGTGGGCTAAAATCACCCGATTTTCTACAATTTACATTCTAAGTGAACTGGTTCACGTTTGGAGACAAAAAAACCCTCTTTTTTCCATATTTGACCCGCATACACTAAACAAAAACAATACTATCCTATTCTATTTCACTTCCACTAAATAAAAACAATTAGCAAGTGATCCTAAACATGTGTTATTTACATATTAGTATATTTATGTTTCATTAAATGTGCTTAGATTACTTTTTAAGACAGTATATTTTGTATCCTCACCATCCGATGTAACACTCCGATTTTTACTACTTATCCCCGATATATCCCGATAACTAAGATCCGATATGAATTTTGGCTATCCGATATATTTTCGATAACCGATATTTAAAACATTGGAAATGTCAATGTCCCTGTCACTACACCAGAACTTTGAAGTTACGGTGAGGATTCAGGGTTATAATTTATACTCTAGAAGGTGTTAGAATATACGCAAAAATGAGAAATCACCTTTTTAATAAGTTGGACATCATAGGATCTACCATATTTCTTCCTGATGAGAGTTGCAAGATCTACTCCGCTGAAAGCTGAGTCATCCTGTCCAATGAGCCTTTCCAATTCCTCTCGGGACATCCCTCCTTTGATCTATGAGGATCGATCAGGAAAAATGTTAAAGGGATAATTGTGGAGAGACCCTTGTACTAGTGGCCAATTGCGAATGGACACCTTGTAGCTCTTTATGGCAGATAGACTCCCTAAATGAAACTTTTTTATCCTCAGGAGGTTTATTTGCCAAAAAACTTTCTCTGAGGGCAAAAGAATTATTAAAAAACTCATTCAGGAGGTCTATCTGCAACAATAAGACTACAGGGGGTCTATCAGCAATTAAAATGATGTCCACCTTGTTCTTCAAAGCAATGAAAAGCTCACTATAGGCTAGACAATATGCACACCAAGTAAATTGGAGAGATAATATAGTATTTCAAACTTCTGCCTCATCGTAAAATAGAAAGAGCCACAAATAGAGGTGACATGCTCATTATGGTACAAGTAAACAAGGATAAATTGCAGACAGTCCCCCTCATCTATACCTTCAACAATAGTTTTCACCCATCAACTTATTTATTGTCACTTATCGGTAGTTATCAGCAATTTATCCTCTCAAAATGTCAATCCAGGGGTGATAACTGCTAATAAGAGAATTGAGAGATGATAAATGCTACTGAAGATATATATTAGTGAGTTATCCACAATTTCCCCAATAAAGAATCAATACATGAAATACCTCTTCATTTTTGCTCTCAGAAGATTCTTTTTTTTCACTTGCATCATCATCATTGCTTGGTTCTGCATCGTTACTAACAGCTCTTGCAACAAACTGCCTAGCATATGAGACTTTCGCCTGGACACTAATAAATTGATGACGTTGAGTAGATAATGCTCCTCCAGAAGAATAGCCTACACTTGAATGTCCCAAATATTGTACCTTATTCAATTTTCTCATGAAAGAATTCTCAGAAGAATTCTCATGAATTTGAACTACTGGAGGATGACTTGAGAGGACACTCGTCATATCCTGAAAATTCAATAAGGGTGTAGAAAGAAGTGATAACATCAAACCATATTTCAAATATTCTTTCTTTCACTATTACCTTTGAGTAGCAAAATTAAGCTCATTATCCTAGATAGCCCCTAATGTTTCTTTAGAAAAGATCGCTTACAACCTCTCATAAAAAAATCTAATATAAAGGAAAAACATGGATACGAGGTGGCAATTCATTTAGCAAAATGAGCTAGTAAAATTTAGAAATGGTGAGGCCAGCACCTTCCAATGTGTGAGCTTCATAACATGACTAGCAAGGTGGGTCTTACCATATGACCACCTCATAAGTCATAACCATCAAACCCTTTTCTGCCATAGACACCAATCATGCCTTTTGAATATTTCTAAAGAAAATTGTACTAACAGGATGTTTTAACAATTTAAGGTTCATTCTAAATATTTAGCATCATAATACAATGACAACCACCACCAATATTTGATCTCAAAGTTTCAAGTCAGAAAATAAATATCCTAGAACAGCTGCAAAATGAATAACCATAGCTTCTTATTATAGTACTTGCCAGTTGTAGAATAATAATGAAAATTTTCATCGTAAATTTTACAAACCACCATGAAATATTAGGGGTTTTCCATGAAACTATCCTTAACTTTTCTCAGAGAAAATTATCGCAAAATTTGTAACCAGCAGAAAGCCCGTTAACGGCATTAACATCGGAGTTAGAAGTCCGAAATAATCGTATTTATAACTTTCCATCTCAAAGTTTATCTTGTCGCAAAAGACTAGTACTTCTTGTCTCCTAATTTTTCTCTTGGCGCAGTTACTCAAGTGGGGAAACCTAATGCAAAAGACTAAATAACGGCAAAAATATGCATGTGGTAACTTTCACAATCTGCACAGCTGTTGATTGGAGACAATACCTAAGATTAAATTTCGTAAGGAGGTGTTAGTCAATTGGGACATTTTCATGCAAAATAGGATAATTGTTAAAGTGGAATAATATTTCGCTAGTGGGATATTTTAGTGGGATAACTAGGAACAATTTTGTGAAGCGGGATATTTTGATAAAATAACGTGGGATAAATTTTTATAATCATGAAGTATATATTTATGCATTTTGAAGATATAAATACTATTTATGTATTTTAAACTTACTACTATTAATTGATAATTGCTTACAAGAATGTTCGTTACTATTAAATAACTTTTGGTTAGACTATAAGATATTGACAATTATTATTATGATGATGGTCTAATGATGGTGATAACCATAATAGGAAATAAGTAAAGAAAAAAATAAAAAATAAAAAAATAAATACGAGTTCTAGTTTTTTACCACATAGTTCCAAGCTAAAACTTGGAATAATTTGAGAGACTAGAACTCTCATTTTTGTATAGAAAAATAAAAAAAGTGGGATAATTTTGTACAATTATCCCAATTCTAGTTTTGTTAAAGTTCTGCTTGACTAACACTGTAAAATTTTATTCTAGTTTTAGTTCTATGTGACTAACACCTTAAAATTTTGTTCTAGATTTAGTTCTATGTGACTAACACCTTAAAATTTTATCCCACTGATTATCACAGTTCTAATTTTAAGTTCTAGGTGACTAACCCCCCCTAAGCATAAAAGAACAGCAGGTATAAAAACAATATTCACCCATAAACAAACCGCAATATTTATTGCAAAACTACCAGTAAAAGAAAAGAACATACCGTTAAGATGGCATAAAAGGATGTAATAAAGGTTCAATCTTTACACTTCGCTGCTTCAAATATTTTGGGGCTTTTGCTTTGTTAGGAATTTTATCAAACACCTTGCGTACAAGATTTTTCTTCTCTTCACAGAGTTATTTGTTAACAAGATCCCACAAAATACAAACGGGTGGATGTGAGGAGACGTGAAGCGAAGAATGAAAACATCAAAGCAAACAATCGAGTGGCGGGAATAAATTCTTCTTGTAAAGAAAAACCCATGATTTTGGTTAATTGTGGTGGTCGTTTTTCAATGGGAGAAGTATTTCACACCCCCTGCATCTCAATTGTACTTCTTTTCGTACCCCTTATCTTTCAAATCAATATTAGTGCTTGTCCTCCTCGTAAGTTTTGTTAATCCCCTGTATCCTCCTTTCCGTGGTCACTAAATTTCTTTTGGACTTCGTTTTTTTTTTTTTCCTTCTTCCAAATACTAGTCCCTAAATCTATTGAATTTAAAATCATCCCAGTAAAACACATATATTAATAAGTCTCTAATCACTTAATTAGTCTCAAGTTAGTTTCATAATCTCTTAACCCCACCAGTAGTTTAACAAAATACTATTTATTTTAGCTGTTATTTTCTTCACCTCTGTTAGTCATTTGCTGACAATAATCCTCATCTTCCCTGTGACCACTACTTCTGTCCTAACCCACCTAAAACCCCACCGAGAAATAGTAAAGAGAAAAGAGAAGTTTTTTAATATTATAATTAAGGGTAAATTACCCTAAACCCCTAAATACTTTAGGATTTCACACCGAACTCCTAAGAACTTTCAAACTCACAGCAAAACCCAAAAACTTTTGCGCCTCACAGAAAAACTTGAATAAGTCCCGTGTGAATCTGGGCCATGTGCAAAATCCTCAAATACAAGGCCTTTTCATATTTGAGAACCCCCAAAACATTGCCAACTCCTCAATGAAAGTAGCAACCCGAATTTATCCCGAAAATACCTCTCATAGTTGCCTCCTTTAATTGGTAACCGCACCCAAAATGCAATCCCCCCATCCCCTAAAAAAATTATCCTTAATATTTAATTAAAAAACCCATTTCTTCTTATATCTTCTCCTCCTCCTCAAACTACGATTAGGCCTACTGCTACTGCCGAACAATGACCGTGAACCTTGGGGTTGTGGTGTGCACAAAGCACAAAATAGAGAAAAGATAGATAACTAGATATGAATATACAACCCATCCACCTACATAGGCTGTTTGGTAGGCTGCAACTGGAGTGGTTGCAACTCCAGTTGCATGCAACTAGGTCCAATTTGACTAGTTGCATTTGTTTGTTTTGCTGCAACTCACAGTTGCAGTTGCAACCACAGTTGCAAAACAACCCTTAGTTGTAACATATGACTTACGTCAAAAATGGCCGCAAGTTATAGTTGCAACTTAGTTGCAACTGACCTAAATTTATTAAAATCAAAATCATTACTTAATATTTTAAAAATGAATTCATTAAAGGTTTAAAATAATCTTTTAAATAATTCTTATTATAATAATTTCTTCAAAAACGTTTTTAAAAAAAACAACATTAATCTTTTAAAATAATTATTATTATAATAATTTCTTCAAAATAATATGTTAGTTTTAAAAGTAATATATTATCTTTAAAATAATATATTATTTTTAAAATAATATTTTAAAAATAATATATTTTTAAATAATATATTTTTGATAATATATTTTTCTAAAATAAATATATTTTTCTAAAATAATATATTTTTTGAAAAAATAAAATTCAGGAATACTATTATCTTTTCTAAAATAATATATTTTTTAATTATTTTTTATTATATATATTAAATAATATATTTACTTTTTTAAACAATAATATATTATTTAAAATAATCTATATTTTTAAAAATAATAAATTTTTTAAAATAAATAATATATAATTTTCTAAAAAAAATAATTTTTAAAATAATATATTTTTCTACAAAATATATTTTAAAATAATATATATTTTTAATAATATATATTAAAAATAATATTTTTTTTTGAATATATTTTTTTTGAATAATATATTTTTTAATAATTATATTTAAAATAAATAATTTTATTGAATAATATATTAAAATAATATAATTTCTAAAAAAATCAATATATTTTTTGAACATATATTTTAAAAATATATTTTTTGAATAATGTATTTTAAAACAATATAAATTTCTAAAATAATATATATTTAAATAATATTATTATTTTTTAAATATTATATAACTTTTAAAAATATATATTTATTAAAAAATATATTAGTTTTAAAATATATTATTTTTAAAAATTATTTTTTAATAAATATATTATTTTTTATAACATTATTATTTTTAAAAATATATTACTTTTTAAAAAATATTATTTTTTAAATGTTTATATGAGTTCAGTATTTAAGTATAAGCATAATCAAACAGCTGCAACTAATATAGTTATAACATTTAAATTTTTAAACCAACATTACATAGCTGTAGTTGGCAATGTAAGAAGAGTTGCAACGTCCAGTTGCATGCAAGTGACACTTGGCATTGGCAACTCTAGTTGCAAACACAAACGGCCAGCCAGGGCAGATGGAGAGCGGAGTGGACGGATGGTGTCACGTTTTGTAGGGAAGTTGATTGGGGCATTAAGTGCGGCGACCACTGTCGTGGAGAAGCTGAGCGAGGGCGTCCAGTTAAGGGAGTAGGGAACGCTTTGGTGATGTGACGGAGGTGGCTTGTTAGGCTTTGGACTAGAGAAGTAATATATATATATATAATATTATATATATATTATAATATTATATATATTAATATATATATATATATATATATATATATATAATATATATACTTAGAGAAGAGAGAGAGAGAGAGAGAGAGAGAGAGAGAGAGAGTAGTGTGCGATCGCGAGTGTGGTGGAGGGCAAGGTTGCTACTGCAACCAATGGTGGCAATATTAATTAGCGGCGTTGTCGTAGAGCAACTCAGTGATGATAATGGCAATGCCGACATGGAGAGAGGTTTAGTAGGGCATTGGGAAGGAGCTGGGATGCGGTGCTGACGGAGGGCGGGTCGATGTTGTTGATATTACCGAGGCTGTGTGATATTTAGTTTGAGTTATTATACATTTATAGCGGTCTTTAAGAAATGTTTCATCCAAAAATAACAGAGCTCTACATCCAGCAATGAATCCTTCAATATATGCATTATAACTTATGAACAAACACCTAAACCTCCCGTCATAATCATCAATAGCAATACGGTTCCTGGATTAGAGGCTAGAACCATGGCTTTATACATGTAAAGATATAACAAGTAATCATTAATATTACCCTCTAAATTCTAACCTTAACAATTAAGTTGTAACCTTAACAACTAAAACGTATATTTAACAACTAAGACGTATACTTAATGACTAAGTTATAAAGTATACCATATACTTAATAACTAATGTGAAAATATAACAATTTATCTATAACATTAACAATGAACATATACACTTAACATCTAAGCTATAAACTTAACAATTGCAACGTAACCTTAATAACAAATATGTATACTTAACAATTAAGGAGTAAACTTAACAACTAACTCATGAGGTTAATAACCAACCCATAACCTTAATATATAACTCCTAACTATCTACTAAAGTAAACACCAACTCATAAGGTTAACAATTAACTCATAGCCTTAACAACCAACTCATAACATTAACAACTAATAGTTCAGCTTAACACAGACATGACAGATAAGGTATAAGTACTAATCTTAGTGAATCTTAGGTCTCATCATCGTCACCGAGCATGTCCTATTGTGCTTTGCCACACTTTGTTGTATATAATCTTGACAGCGTACTATAAGAGTAAGTCGTTCTTGATATCAATTAGCCGAAGATCTGGCCTAACCTTCAGAATAGATTGTATTTAATTTGTAATGAATTTGTGTGATCCCCTTGATTTACCAGCATTAACTCCATGTTGACCGCAAGTGTGAGTAGCGTGGAATTTCTTTATAGACATAATTGAGCAATTTTGGAGTGGGGAAGCAAACAATATCCAAGAAAATTTATGTATGTCCTTGTATTGGTAGTGTACTCTTATACGTTTTTGTTCATTATGATAAAAATCATATTCAAATCTTTTTGCAATTGAATAGTATTAAAATGCTAATCTAACTTCAGCCCCTCTCCACGTATGGATGTGTGCCACTCAGCTGAGATGTTGGTTTGGTTGTTAACTATGTCTTCTATCATCATGATAGAATAGCCAGTAAGATTGTCATTAGGAATACACTCATCCTTACATGATTGGCTGAGCGTAGCATCTGTGCATTGGGAATTTTCTATCAGGATTGTCCTAAAAAAATGAGAAAATACTTGAATATGTAACAATTAACTATAAAATTAGCAACTAAATACTAAGTTAAACAACCAACTCATAAGCTTTACAACCAACTTATAAGCTTAACAATTAATTGCTTGTAGCAATCATCTACAAAGGTTAACAACTAACTCATTAGGTTAATAACTAACTCATAACTATCTACTAAGGTTAACAACCAACTCATAAGGTTAATAACCAACTCATAACTTTAACAACCAATCCATAACCTTAACAACTAATAGTTTAGATTAACAACAAACTCACATCAATCTACTAAGGTTAACAACCAACACACAAGGTTAACAACTAACTAAGAAGGTTAACAACCAACACACAACGTTAACAACTAACTAAGAAGGTTAACAACCAACTCATAACCTTAATAACTAGTTGCTTCTAGCAATCATCTATAAAGGTTAACAGCCAACACATAAGGTTAACAGCCAAGTCATAACTATCTCCTAAGGTTAACAACTAACTCATAATCTTAACAACCAACTCATAACTTTAACAATCAACTCATAAGGAAAAATATAGTGTTTAAAATGCTTACACGCTTTTGAAGAAGTTTGGGTGTTCTGAGAAGTTGAGGAATCCACAGCTGAGATAACATATAAGTTTATTTTGTAAATCCATTATGATGACAATACTCGAATATCAAGCTTAAGTCATCATCACTTTCAATTGTAAAACTAAACTTCTTTTTCCTTCCGGATATGAATTTCAGTAAAAGAGATTTTGCAATGGGAGTTTAAGCTTTTGGCTCACTTGATACTTTAAGTTAATGATTTTTATAGAGTCGTTGATAACTATGAAAACACTCTCGGCCTCTTTATTATTTTTTGTATTTGTAACCATGCAAAGGAAGGATCTTTCCATTATTATGAAGAGAAGTTGTTGAATAAGAAAAGAGGATTTATGGAAGATTGTTAGAACTTGGAGGGAACTAGAGTTTTTTCCTCCTCCAAAACCCCTTTCTAATCATCATCAATGCCTACACTAAGATTTCTTCGATGACCGGATCTCCCCTCTACACCCTCCGTTAACTAGAGAAAGTATTTTGGTCGTCACTGAAATTACCCTAGAGGGGGGCGAATAGGGTAATCAAACAATAAATGTGTAATATGAAATTCAATGC